AACCAACCCCCTTCGGTGTTTTGGTCAAGTGTTTAAACCCCCCATTCGGGGGGGTTAGTTTAGTTTCTTACTCAGGGGTTAAAACACTTGAATGAGACACTAAACTAACTCCCCTTCGGGACTAACCAAGGTTGGTTGCGTTTTACAAACTTGACCAACCCCCCCTAGGAGCTCCGAAAGGAGCGCCCTGCTCTAGTTTGTGAAATTTTAGGTTCTCATGGCAGTGAAGATGTTAGTGTTCTGCCTCGTTCTGATGCCATATGGACTCATAGCTATATACCAGCATTTTGGAGTGACATATCATCTCCATTTTCAGGGCATCCCTGAAGTTAGAGATTGAATATAACCCCATTTAGATAATTTTTCAACATACCACCTAGGATGATGTATGTGTTAAATTGTGATCACATCTGATGGATAATTAAAAGTATTATGCAATTAGTTGCACCAAATAACTTAAAACAGCAGGTTGGAATATACATCATAGAAAATCTAGCAAATACGGTGTACAGGCATACAATGCAAAACAAAGACGTATATGGATATTCTGTTCATTTATATGTAAATGTATGTAAGGTGAATCGTTTGCTGAAACTTGCTAGTACAGTTTCTGGGTTATGCCAACACAAGCAGTCATCTTACATATTCAATGACAAATGAAGACTTCAGCAAGAGTGCTCTTTGTAATCTGGTCTGGACTTTGTTGAAGTTCTGTTCAAAAAGTCTCAAGATTTCTTCTGTTCAGCAGCAAACTAAACAGCCTGTCGCTGAGTAGTACATGCAGTGCAACGTTTAACAGAACTTGGCATGTCAACATAAATGCGGCACTTCATGCTTCTGATCGGGTCACGCAAACCAGTTCCTGTGCAAAATGCTAAGCGATGAATTTTTTGTAGGTACACAGATACTTGATGAAGTGATTCAAGAGGTTGAGTCGGCACCCCCGCAGGTAGCTTGAGCTTCATTTCTCTGAAGAAAACAGCTGGGACAAGACACTCTGCAAACACAACTCCTTTATCAGCTATGAGGCGACCTGTGTGATTGGCTGGCAACCTGCTGAATGCCACAAACCTGCGGATAACAGAAAATATAAGCATGGCATATCTTAGGATTTCCTGTGTGCAAGATATTTCATAATGCTATATCCAGTATCTACTACAGCAGTTATTGGATAAGATATAGATGATGCAAGTGATGAATCAGGACTTGGGAAGGAAGGACTATTATTATTATTATTAAGTGTTCTGTCTTACGACAGGTCCATTGCTCTGCCCAAAAAGAGCTCTCCAGTTGTCCCTATTCTCGGCTTCTCGCTTTAATTCCTGGAACGTCATCTTCTTTCCTTGTTTAAGATCGTCGGTTAGCTGTATCAGTCTTCTTCCCAGTCCTCGCTTTCCTTCAACCTGGCCTTCGATGATATCACTCATTAATCCATTCCTTCTCATAATATGTCCCAGCCAGTTAGCTTTCCTTCGTGTAATCGCCTGCAGAATGCTTCTTTGCTCGTTGACTCTCCTCAATACTTCTTCGTTGGTCACTCGATCCGTCCACCTGATCTTCTCTATCCTTCACCAACACCACATTTCAAAACTCTCCAGGTATTTCCGTTCCTTCTTCCTGAGTGTCCAAGTCTCTGCTCCATACAGCGCGACACTCCATACGTAACACTTCACTAGTTTCTTCTTCATCTCCAAGCCCAACTTGCTAGGGAGAAGTATAGCCTTTTTAAGACTCCCAAATTGGAAGTAAACACTAGGCCATAATATTTGAAGAGTATTAACATCTTCAGTAAAAAATAAATAAAAAGGTACATCTACCACATTGACCTTGGAGTTACTTTTTTAAATACTTTAGCAGCATGCCTCAGATTTCATTTCAGGCAGTAAATTCGAGAAATCTGTTAAAGGAATGTACATTTTATGATGTTGGTCCCTTCATCATAAAACAAAACATTTCTTTCATAACTACAGGTTGTTTTAATTTAATCTCACATGTGAACCCCCATGCCCTTTGAATCTGGCACTAATGTTGCTTCTTTTTCCCACTGAAACTATGCACTGTTGTTCAAGGTGTGAATTAAAAAGAGAATTTATTTGCAAGTAACCATTATTAATGGTATGCAATCAGGTATAATATTTCCTGTCACTGGTAACAGTTTTTCAGGGCTGCAGCTGCACGCTGCAATCCAAATGATTAGATATGCCAGACATTGAATCTAATCAACATATTTATACCCAAAGGAGATGAGGTAATGGAGAAAGTTACACAGTGAGGATCTTCAAAATTTATAATCTTTTACCATAATTTCTGGGCGTGATTAAATCCAAATAGATGAGATAAATGGGTAGGATTTTGAGGTTCTTGCTGTGGTGAGCACAAACATGTGTTGTAGTGCCATGTAGTCTGATGGAAGTTTGCCACCATTTCAGCAAGTACTCTACCAGACTACATGGCACTACACAGAAAATAGCCATCTTCAAGATGAATGGGGTGTGTAGCATTCAAGGGGGATATTAGGATTCCTTTAGATTTTAGTTGGAAAACCTCATGATAACAGACTACTTAGGAGACCTGTGTATAAACAGGAGGAAAATATGAAAGTGGATCTTTAAAAAAACCGTAAACTTGGTTGTGGTTATGAAATTGAGGATACAGTGCACTGTGAGGGCCTTTGCGAGTACATTAATGAATACTCAGGTTCTATAAAAGCATAGACGACCCTAAATCAAATAGTTTAACAATAAGTCTGATCAGCATTAACAGTTTTTGCAATCTTTTCTCTCAATATAATCAACAGTGACATTGTAAAATGTAAGTTAATGTTTAAATCATCGTAACCAAAACAAACCTTCCATTGGGATCCTTATGCATGGCCCATAATGATGATGGAAGTTTAATATTACTTGCCTCCTTATGCAGTACCTGTAAATAAAGCAGTGAACATTTCTACTAAGTACTTGAAAACTTAAACAAGTTATATATACACATATGTAAATGAACATCAGTAAAATACACTATGGAGTAAAAGCTTATGAATAAGCAACACACCAGATACCTAATTCCCAACAGAAAACTATTTCATTGAGGGTGTTTATATAGTAGTAGCATATCTGAGTTGTGTTTTGGAGGTATACAGTTTGAGCTGACAACATTTTTCTTCAGTTTTATATAACAGTCAGCCTGGTACTTTAATACATATAGGCCATGACTACTTCCTACCCAGCTACTCACACTGTCTGAGATTTGAGGTTCTTGAAGGTAACTGTTGTCACCTGTCATACCTCATATGTGAACAAATGCTTTTCCTCTTGTTCACTACTCTGGTCTGCAGCTCCATTGTCTTGCAACAGCTCACTCTCTTCCTCAAGGGTTACCTCTGCATTTGAGTGCTGGTCAAATTTCAATCTTGTTTCTTCTGAACCATCTTCATCATGCATCTTTTGTAATTCATCCTCCATTTCTTCCATCCTTTAATATGTGAATAGTGACATGTAATAAACCATTTAAATTATACATAGCTTAATTTCCTTATTTTCCTTCCATATCATTTTCAATTCATTATCCAAAATCCCACCATTCAACACTGTATAGTCTGTTACTGTGAGTAAAATTAAATAAATATGACGATTTTCGTAACATTAAGCCGAACTAGAATATAGTAAACACAAGGAACAGTAATATTGTTCTTACCTGCTCCTCTGTAACCATTCGGTTTGGAAGCAAAAGCCTAGTTAGACCATCCACCCTCAAATTAATAAAACTTATAGGTTATGTATATCTTATTCGTGCATCTGATGGTATCATACTTTAACAGGAAACTGTAATGAAACGTATATCTACTGAATTGTTGAGAAATTATATGTGGGATACATGATTACAGAAAATCATAATGAGAATGCCAGAGCGTATCAATTTCGATTTCTTCGACCGTCATTACCCCCTTTAATACGGAAACCGGCAGTGCTACCAACTAGTAAGAAAAACGCCAGCAGCTATGGTAGTTTGTAAGTGTTCTTTGCACTTTGGCGCAGGCCGAGAACACGCCACTTTCTTCCATGAAACTAGACAATCCGCATAACCGGAATGATTCCTGAAACACTTCGCAGAAATGGGATATGCGACCATTGTTGTAACAATAAGGACAGGGGTCATTGTGAACTGAGAATGGTCACCATTTCCGCTATTGAAATAATGACCTTTGATACTATTTGTTATTCCTTTCAAGCAAGTAACAAGTCATAACAATTAACGCAGCAACATACTGACAGTGGAGGCGGAGCCAATGAGGAGAATGATATGTACGGCCCCTTACGAAAAAAATACACTTTAGGTATATTTTGTGAAAAATACGTCGAACATGAAAACCCAAATAATAACACTAATAACATCATACACTTAAGGTATATTTTGTTAAAAATACGTCGAACATGCTTAATAAGAACATGCAAACCCAAATAATAACACTAATAACATCATTAGTTAAACGCTGAGAAGTGCTGAAGACTAATACAAGCTACCAACAATGCTAATTATTCAGAAACATTAACAGAACACAGACAATCTGCCGTCAACAGTAGCGTTTTATGGAAAACTTAAAAATTTTTATTTCTTGTCAATGGGATTTTCTCTAAATCGTTCTGTTCCCCTGTCAAAAATATTTCTATTTCATTTTCCAGTCTTCTGACACTGCGTTCATATATAAATCAAATAATGATGGGGAGAGTCGACCACCTTGTTGCAACCTTTATGAACTTTTAAAAGAGCTCCATATTCTTATTTTCCATTTTAATGTCAATATTACTGCTGTCATATCAGGCTTTGATGTTACTGGAAAAAATACAGTAAATTGCATCTAGTTAGTTACAGTAGTTGCTATTAATAAATGCACAGGAAATGCTTTTTGCACTACGAATTTTAAGAGGGAATTAGAGATAAGCCGAAAGGAGTTTCGCCTTCTTTAGACACGATAGTACAAATAGACATAGTTCAAAAAGCTGGGACTCAGATGAAACTTTGGGTGTTTCCTTCTGAAGGATGTTGGAAATGTCTATTGGTTTAATAGAGAAACAAAATGGAACTTGTAATTGGAGGTGTTATTAGCTGACAATGTTTGTGAATTGTTTCTAGAATGAAGAAGGTTGTGATAATTATGGGGTTCTATAGCTGCATTTTATATAGCAGTGATATTTATTTCTGTTAGATTTGCTTAGTGAAAAAGAAATGGCAACCATTTCCTCCTTTCCATGACCTCCGTTAAAATAGGCTTTACATGATAGAGGATTTTTTTTTTTTATAAATTCTAGTATTAAATTGTACATTTTTGTGAAATGGGCACAAATGGACGAAGTAATATGTTCTTCTTACATTTTGAAGGAATTAAAATAATAATTTGTTCTTTCATTAACAATCTGGACATTTAAAAATCTATATGGAAACTAAAATACTCCAGTGATGAATGAAGAATTAGGCATATTCAGAAATATATGTACACATACACTCTGTTGGGTTGGCGAACATGGTCAGACGTAAACTCGCGTCCGATCCAAGATCTGGTCAGAGAGCCTGCGCGTTTACGAGGTCCCACATTCGTTCTTGTG